TAATGAAAAGCTTGTCACACATCACCAATAATGATAACTGTGAGAATAACATCAGTCTATGTAGAAAAGGTATTGTGTATCAGTGTATACTGATATATGCCTATGAACTTTCATCTATTTTGTTAGATTCAATACCTTTCCTACGTAGACCAATTTTATGATCAAAATGGTTGTCACTGATATTGAACCGGCATTCCATATGGCTTCTCTGAATTCATAATCATTCACTGTGACTTTGTTTTCATTTGACTTAGCATAAAATATTTTGTATTATCTGCCAAGTAATGAAGGCATCCTTCTACAAGGAGTTCAGTATACACTGCGTGGAAGGGAACTTTTCTCTCTCTCTCTCTCTCTCTACTTCACAATGCTGTTTTGTAATGACGTACATGTGTCCTCGGAGACAGAATTATGTACATGTATGTGTCTGTTTTTTAGAATTTACACGGTATACAGTGTATAATGAAATAATCATACGTAAAGAGATGTATAGGAAATGTATAATATATAGAAGGTATCAGGTTTAACTATGCACTGTAGACTATCATCATTCGTAATGCCACAATATGCATGTAAAAATGTACAGACTGTACCTCCCCTTTAGGGATAGATAGGGTTGTAAATTTGACAATCACTCAAGAGAAAAGTCCTTTTCACATGTTTGACAGCTTCAGGTGTTAAATATAAGAATCATACAAATATTGGACTACATGTAGATATTTCAATTTCTTACTCCTTTAAATGGTTCCTGAATTTCATAACCCGTTTTATAATGGACAACTTATAAACAATAGTATGTTTGCTTGTTTATTCCTTTGGCTATTCATATTTTAATTGTGATAAATATTAGCCGACTGTGATGATTGGTCTGGTATTAGTATGCACTGTATTATGAAGAGCCCATTAGAAGGACATTCAAATGTTCTTATTATTGTTATTATAACTGCATCCTCTTGGTATTGATAAGAAACCTAAAATAGACATCTGAAGAGTATGGTAATTTTTATTGATAACTTTTTTCCAACACAAATGTATTCAACCTTGTGCACACTTATACAACTCCATTAAAGTTCATTTTTTCTTGTGTTTTCCTTGTTTATATATTATGCTGTAGTCATGCAATTTTTGAATGTTTGTTTTTATCATTTATCAACATTTTCTTTTGTAATCTATCATTTATTTACCATTACATATTAGAATACTTATAGTGAAATATTTTCTTTTTATGTAGTTTGCTAATGTGAATTTTCTCCTTAACATCTCAGCTTTCTGCTTTGTCTCATCCTATTTTTTCGCATCTATCTGATTATTGCTATATTAAATTAAACTAGCCATTATATACTCACTTTCAGTGTTATTATATATATACCCTCTTGGAATATAACAATTATCGTTTATATGTTTGTCAGATATAGGAATTGGAATTATAAGGCTTTTAGGCTTAATTTGTGTTCTATTCATAGCAATAAAGCACATGTCAATGATAGGAAAGAAGCAGGAAGAAAAAAATATTATCTGTAATAATTATAGATAGACTTGAGACCTCCTTTTTATGTTTGTATGAATTGTCATATGGAATATATCCATTGGTTATTTACTCCAAAGCAAGTGTGCTATTTAATGAGTGTATTTTGAATAGGTTTTAGTTACTTTTAACAGAATTGTACTTCCATCAGTTTGTGATGTAATAACTACAGTCAAACCTGTCTATTATGGCCACGTAGGAAGAAAATATTGAACAAAGTCGGGGGCTACTTTTCAAGCTTGCTTGTATGAAAATAACATTCTTTAATTTGTTTTGCATTGACTCTATGCAAATTTTGGGAGGCTTTAAGACTTTCAGGGGCTCTTTTTTAGCATTTTGGCCACCCAAGGCAAACGCTTAAATTGACCACTATAGACAGGTTCTTCAACACCTGTTTCCTCCTTGAGGGAGGCCACATGACTGACCACTACAGAAAGGTGGCCTTTATATACTGTAGAGGTGGCCACTAAGACGGGATTGACCTTACATGATTATTAAATCTTTATTGAGGAAATTTCAATTGATGAATTTAGGAACAAAAATAGAGTAATGTAAAAGCCAGTTATTTTGCAAAGTACCCAGTGACTGTTGTTGATTAGTATGTTGTTTTAAAAGTTGCATCATAATTTTTGTGAAAATTACAATTTAGAATAAAAAACAACTATTTCTAAGATTGCTACCACTACTCCTACTGTTTGTACAACTAATAATGCCACTATTTGTGCACTGCTGCTCTTGATTAGTGATATGTTTTACTACAGCTTCTATCCCTATTTCTATAACTTATAATTAGTGTTATTACTACTAATACTCCTGCTGCATTTGGTAATAAGCTATACTACTCCAGCTGCTATGGCTACCATCACCACAACTACCCCAGCTTCTTTAGTCTCTTGTACTGATAGTCTTGTTATCCCTCCGCCCACCAAAGATTTTGGGTTCAAAGGTCAAAGGCCATAGAGGTCAATTTCTGAAATGACATGCTTTAGCCTGGCCATTGCGATTTATATCTCAAGAACCACAGGAGATGGGCTTTTTGTTTTCATTGTGTCATGTCACGAGTAAATCCATCCATTCCTATACTGAATTTAAGGCGGAGGCATATAAGAGACTTGGTCGCATTCGTCTTGTTTAATTTACTGATATTTCATCCTTATTATTGCTAGTTTCCTGGGAATGTAAATTCCTACTTTATTTCTTTAAGTTGCAGTTCTGGAATTTTTGTTGTTGCTATGGAAAGAGTACATGTCTTCTGTTATGTATTTGATATCGCCTGTGTCAGGTAGGCAAAAAGAAAACTAGATCACTGTAAACCTCTGGTCTCTCCTCCTGGTATAAGTGATTGGGGGTGTGCAGGTGGACCACTACACTGGGGTGTACGGTATGCAGAATGAAGTAGGTTCTTAATGTGCAAAGATGGTGTCTGGCTAGAAACCGTAGACTACAACATTGTTTGAAGTATCATGTACAATGTACATATCACAGAAATCGACTGGTTGTACACATCACAGAAATCAATTGGTTGTACACCGACTGCTTAATTGTTTCATTAGTCAAATCATATTCCGGTAGCCAATTTAAGAGTCAAGGATCTAGTAATGTATAATGTACATATCATATGGGCTTTTTCTTTTTACTTGGTTTGTTGAATATGTTTCTGGATTTGATTTATAATTATTCATTTATCAATTTATTTTGAAAAAAAAAATCTATGCTGTATCATTTTAATGGTGTTTAATGCAAAGTAAGTATTACAGTTGTGGCATTGAAGGTGCTTCTCAAAGAGGTTTACTTGTGGATTTTCACGGCAAGATTAAAGTACAGTCGACCATCCTAACGTGGCCATCCAAGGGGAAAGAGACAAAGTGGCCACTATAGACAGGTGGCTTTTAGAGAGAGATGGCCACTATAAGACAGGTTCGACTTTAAATTGTGAAGTATTTCTAGATGCACAACATGCACTCTTGTCATATACAAAAATATGTCCACAAAATATGTTACATCCACAAATTATCCATACAACGCCTTCAGTTATTAATCAATTAAAAAAAAAAAAAGTATCAACCATTTGCCATTTGATTAAAATGTCATATTACTGGGATAAGATAACATTAGCTTTCATCAAATCTAGGAAGTAATTTCATCCATGTATGTGGTTAATTAATACAAATAATGACAAAAGTATTGTGTTTAAGATATTTCCTTTTCCAACCAATACAGTGTAATCTTCATTATAGTGTGGTACAAATATCCTTTCACTGGCATTAAATTGCAGTTCGTATTTTGACATGTCAAATATAATTTGCTGTAAAATTGAGATTGATGTTTATCAAGCATAATATATTCTAGTGTATGGTCATTAGGTCAGGCTCTTGACCTTTTTAAATGTTAAATTTTTCTTTAGATTGTGTGATGTCAAGGTGATATTTTTAGTATGCTATGATATTTTGTGGCTATGACTTGATAGAGTAAGTTTGATCACGACAACTAGGATAATATATATCTGTGTTCTTTATTACAACTAATATTTCTTTGATTTAAGAAGCAGTTACTGATCAAATTACCCCCATGATCATTTAAATTCATGTATTTTATGTTATCAATCATCTGTATGAAGTTATTCACTCATGTTATTTTGTATTAAAAGATATGGAGAAAGTGTTATGTGCATATCCCATCAATTATATTCTATAGGAACAATAAATATATTGATGATACTCACAAATCTCACAGTGGTGAAAATGTGTTATTTTTTCCTGGAATTGTGCTTTCTTTCTTCGCCATCTATGGATCTTTCTCTTCTCTTTTCCTCTCTTCCTTCCCCTTTTCACATACACACACTCATGTGCACAATACCCACACACAGTCTCTCTTTCTCTCTTGGAGAAGATGATACATAGTATGCATAAGCTGTAAGCTTAGTCAACATTTCTAAGATTCTTGAGATGTTTCATTGCTATGCCCCCATAACAATAGACCTACCTGTTTATATGCTTTGAGTTTCTCATGACATCTAAAAAACTGGCAAGTGGCTTAGTAACCGACATAGCAACAATTAATATATGCAAAGTGGATTCCATATAGAGTTGGTAACCAGGGGTTTGGGAGAGAAACATGCATAAATTGAAATACACCAGTGCACATGTATACATGTATTGGCTTTACTCTTTATTTTGCACCGGTAATTTATGTGAAATAATTCACCCATGGGATTCAGATTTTAAGTCGAAGAAATCTGACAAATTTTAGTACGAGTTCTATGAGCAATGCAGCATATGAATGCATGCCCTAAATTCCTTCTAGCACAAATCGATCATTCTTTGGACTTCACTTCTTCATAATCGCTACAGGCCTACATTAAATGGTGAAGTACCAGCAGTATTCATAAAGGTTGTAAGGTAATTCCAAGTATGCACGGTTTTTAAGTTTTATGGCATTCAAGCACTGACAAGAGAATAAGGTTTAGAGTCAGAGATACAGGTGTATTATATGTCCTTTATTGCATACCAAATCTTGTTCAAGAAAAGGTAAAGAAAGAGAGAGAAAGATATGGTTGATAACTTGCAAATGCAATTTCTCAAGATATATGCTTTGCGAATGATTAACTACAGTGAAAGAGAGCAAGAGAAAGAGAGAGAGAGAGAGCGAAAAAAAAGGTCGGGGGGGGGGGGGTGGAGAGAATAATATTGTAACTGTTCAAAGGCACTTTATGTATTTTACTATTTAAAAATGTAAATATGTATTCATATGCTTTTTAAAAAAATCAAAGAAATCAGAGTTATCCATCTTATCCAACAGCAGAGATGCAGAGCTCCTTTTCTGTAACGCAAGTTGGTCATCACTTCACCAATAGCTCAAGACTTCAGTACTAATCTTGGGGTAACAATTTCCTATCTAGACCACGACGCACTTAAGCATTTTGTGTTTGGTGAACCACAATGTCTTTAATAGATGTCTTGGCATACCATTCATCTTCTTGATACCTGTACTTATTTGAAAAATAAAAGAGTACCGGTAAGGCTACTGTCCAAATGTAAAAGTTAATATATGTTTCCTCATCAGTGTAAGTCACTGTTATCTGTTTCCTGGGTATGTGATTTCTTCTAGCTTCAGACCAATGACGCATCTGCCGTGTCTCATCTTGTAGTCGCCTCGCTTGGGATCTTTGACCTTTCTCATCTCTGTAGTCCCAGGCATAAGGATCACATGTAAGGAGTTGTCTGGAAGGGCGTCCAATACCGTGCCTACTCGTTCGTCCATTAGGGAGAGGGTCGTCTGAAACGGAGATAGATTGAAAGTGATACAGGGCTAAGTTGTTGAGATGAAAGCAACAAGACCACACGCAATAATTAGCTTCATAAGCATTGTGAAACACAGTGATATTCATGACTTATGACTCAGACATTACTATGCGATATTCAGTATTTGGCCAAGAATTTCAAGGTTAAACATGATGTGTAGACAATGAGGGTTGTACTAATGATACAATTTATTAAAAAAAAATTAAACCTGGGAGAAATAGATTTGTGAAGTTTATTTTAAACAAAAGACAGCACTATTTGAAGGAAAACCGGGGTCCTGTTTCATAAAACTTGATATAAATAAAATTTTCGAACATTCCAAATTAAACAAATTCTCATGACAAATCAAATGCACAGAATTCTGTAGCTTACATGCATATCAATAACTGTTTATTGCTATAGTTCACAACAAGGTTTACGAATCAGGGCCCTGGCATTACAAAGGACTTTAAAAAAGTCGACAGGGTTTGATGGAAAGCATCACTGAGTGTACTTCCATAATCACTCTAGGAAGTATTTGTGAGAAAAATATATATTTGGACAAGTACATCCATCACTGTTAAAACCAATTTCATAGACACTTATGAGAAATTTTTGGCTTGCTACCAGTCAAAAGAAGGGTAGAATGATTTCTAAAGGTTGATGTTTACCTCTGTATCTGCTTCATCCACCGTGTTGCCTTGAGTTAGATTGTTATAACCATGAAATTGCATGTAAACAAAGTCTGAGGTGGAGAGTGCATTACAGGCTTTCTTGCAGATCTGTATGAAACAAGAAGAAAAAAGAAGTTACATAAGGTAGGTTTATTAGTTACCTTACATTACTGAGATGTACTTGCAAGAAAAGATGCGTCCGGAACACAAAATGCGCAGTAGTTAGGGATTTTTGTTAATTAAAAGCTCTCTTTTATATATCTGAATTAAGTTTAGCTAACAACAAGCCTCAACGAGATGGTCCATGCATTCAAAAGCTCTGAATCCTAAGGATGTCGTTCTAACTCTTTGTGATAGAATTATGATTTTCAACAAGTTTGCTTTCCAGATGGATCTTTTTGTGCCACTAGGTAACTATTGCTTAAAATAATGACATGTTTCCAAAAATCTAAAAACATTCTACAAATCCTCGGTTTGTTGAAGCATCATATAAGGATTCTCAAGATATTCAAAGAGGAATTTACTGAAACCATCCTTTCATGGATCTCATCTTGGTGGCACAAACACTGTATATAAAAGGAGGAAGGTAGATTATTAGAGCAATACATCTCATATCTCTGCACAATACTAAATAAAAGATATAGTAAAACCAGTATCATTTCAAGTTTTGTTTATCCCTGTAAATACAATTCAAGATGTTCTAAAAAAAAACAGGCCTGAGTAGAATCATACTTTAGATTCATAACATTAAAAAGTGAATAGCATATGTACAAAGCACGTACAAAAAAGCTTTAAACACATACCTCTTTATCATTGAAGCAGACGTTACAGCTGACAGGCTCTTTCTTGAATTTCTTGAGTGTGAATCGGGTGTCAACAGCAGTTACTTTCTTCCCCTGCTCCTGGGCTATCTCAAATATACTACAAGAGAATTATCAAGATCACACTTTGAAGAAGATACATTTCATTTCATACCAACTTTGTATTTTTTTCTATCAAAATTTTCAGGGGCCTTCCACTTCCTCGGGGATGACAAGAGAATTATGGATATACATAGAGCAAGGTTTAAGAACAATACCAGTACTTGGAGATTCAACGTTCTTGTTGAGGGGACAGTGGGGTTTTGTATTCAAGGAACACTATTGTCACAAGGAAACCACATGTACTCTCATACTTTGTTAATGATAAGTTGGGATACTGTTCTCACATCAGAGCAACCATATAGTGTGCTAGAAGTGGTTTGTAAGTCAGACAGGCGTGAACGCATAATCTTTTTAAAACGGATTAAATGCCCCTCTGACTTTTAACAAGCGATACCATGCCTTTGACCTTTTTAACGCAGTATCTCATCAGCTCATGATTACGTGCTCGTGTGAATTTTGAGAGTGCTTTGGTTAATTCATGCTCACTAGCCCTTGAGCCAGCGTAATTACTAGATTTTCAATCAATTCATTAACCTGTTGGATGCAATTTCATTTGAGTATACCACACATTGACAATGGACTCCAGCACAAAGTTATCTTGATCTCAGCATTCAACAAGTAAATCGGTCGGAAATGGTTTAATCTTGTGATTTTTGGTAACACAGTATTTATCCTATGCGGAGGTGTTGTGGCATTGTGGTTCATTAACTCGACTCGCACTCCAAGGGTTGAGGGTTCAAATCTCAGCCTTGCACTAACGTCCCATGGCAAGACATTGATCCACTTTTGCCACTCTCCACCCAGGTGTAAATGGGTACCTGACATGCCAGATCGCTCCATATATCAGGCCGCCAGTTATGACTGGGGAAAAAATGTAGGAATGCCAGGAGCATCACAGTGTGATGGACATGTGTACTATATAAGAAGGCACAATTATCATCACTATTATTATTATCATTATTACATCATCTCATCAAGGATTGTATGATCTTGGTAACTCACCTCTCTCTTGCTGCAAAGACAGGTCCAGCATTGCATTCTCTGTAGTAGGTTCTGAGCTTATCCCCCTTGGCTAGTTTGAGCTTGAAGAGATCCATGGCTGCTGCAGCATCTTCTACAGAGTCATGACCAGCTGTACCACACTGTATATCACGACTGGGAGAAAAGATTAACGGCATCGTTTAATAATGTTTCCAGTTTTACAAATCTGAGATGCATGGCCATATGTGTTATCAGTGTCTGTGATATGGTGTAATATTGAAGCCCTAAAAAAATTGTGCTTCAAAATGATCATGGAGTGCCTCAAAAAAAAATGAAAATCTTTGAGTGACCGGTTTTAACATACTCATTTTCCCCCCAAAATCTGTAGTGTTGGGAAAACGGTTTTTGAAAGTTTGATTTCCAATCATGAATATCTTTATAATCAGACAGGCAATCGACTTTTAAAAGTCATGGGATTTCTGACTGACCTAAAGGTTTATAATTTTGATAGCAGCATGAGCTAAAACCAGTATTTTGTATAGAAACTGAGGCAAAGATACCAAATCCCTTGAACTAGAGGTTATAGAAAAGGTTGGATACCGGTAAAGATGACACATAATTTGTGATATCTCACATTCCTTTTATGTCAGTCTGAGGGGATATCAAAGTAGAAAGGGCCCTGGAAATGAATTGCTCTTCAAATTCCCTCATATTCAAATTTTTGAAAATTCATTGTATTTCAGTTGTGACTATTAGCTCCAAATCTAAACCACTCACAAAATTCATAAAAGTTTCATGCATGCAAAACTTTCTGGTTTTACAGGAAATGAAAAGTCAGATGCGTACAAAAACATTAATAGACATTAATGTCCCTACAGAGTTCAAAGTCATCGTTCATATCTCTTCCTTAGAAAACTGTTCCTTGCTGCGATCAATTTTAAACCTTCTTGAGGATAACAATGATTGTGCATAGACTTCTTACTTGAGGTATTCCTTGGCTAGGAGTTTCAGCTTGACTCTCCTTCCCGATGCAGTGAACATATTACTAGTATCCACACAGTGAGGGTGATAGATCTGTAGAACACAAAGGACAAACAATCTTAACCCACTGCCTACTGGAACCTGATGGTATACAAATAATACATAGCAGTGAGGGCATTAGTAAAATTACCCACACAAGGTACCTTCGGAACAGTCTAACATGCTTGAGGCGATAGCCGTGGGTGTTTGGACTGTTTTGAAGGTACCGAGTTTGGGTAATTTTACTAATGCCCGAACAAAATGATGTGTATTATTTGTTTTATGAGATTACGTTTGATCTGTTTTATAAAATGATGTTCTATAGCATGATTTTACTAATGACCGGTCATTACTATTGGATAATGACCGTTTATTATCCAAATTACGCAAAGGGCATTGACTTGGTTTCAATTTTAGGATATCCAAGGGCCATAGATTAAACAATTGAGCAAACTGGCTCAGAATGCTTGGTGTCACCTTCTTGTATTAAACTAGGCATTACTTGGTCACAATAGCAGGTTTTCAAACAAAAGAGAGGACATTGATGCCCTGGCAGTGATTCAAACATGTACCTGGTAGGGTGGTTTGTACTGATTTATTGACTATATCAATACTCCTTCACTATCGATGGATTCTCAAAATCTTTGCATTAGTGTTAAATTCCTACATCCAGTCTCAAATTTATGCAAAAGAGCATCTCTGGGACCTGTCTCATTACCAGTTGCAATTAATCGCAACTATGTGCATAAGAGATGGCACACTGTAAAGCTGTGATTGATTGGAGGACATATGATTGATTCCGATCTATCGCAACTCTTTATAAGACGGGGCTCTGGTTTACCTTAGGAGCTCTGAGATCATTCTCCAGTCCCTGTCCTACCAGTCTAACAAGCAGTTGCAATTAATTACAATTATGTATATAAGAGATGGGATACTGTAAAGCTGTGATTGATTGGAGGACATACAGTGTAAGATTGGTTCGGATCTATATCGCAACTCGTTACAAGACGGGCTCTGGTTTACCTTAGTAATGAGGAAGTTCTTAGAAGAGCTGGAGACAGGAGTGCAAAGGAAGATGATACGTGAGATGTTGCTTAGGCAGATAACGTTCATGGGTCAAATTACACGTAAAAAAGGCCTAGAGAATCTTGTATTGACAGGGGAAATTGCGGGAAGAAGGAGTAGAGGAAGAAGGAGGATACTTTGGATGGACAGTCTGCAGAAATTGTTGGAAGAGAGAGAAGTGAAAGAACTGGGAGTGGTGCTAATAGAGAAGGCTAGGAGCCGAGGGTTGCGGACCAGCATGATCGCCAAAGTCAATTGATATGGCACTTAGAGAGAGAGAGAGGGATGGTTTACCTTCAGAGCTCTGAGATCATTCTCTAGTCCCTGTCCTACCAGGATGGCATCCCTTGGTAGGACATCTATCACAGCCTTCTGGGCGTCGGCCAGCCGGGTCTCAACAGGCTCCAGCAACTTCTTGGTGATCCCGCTATACCTGAAATGGTTCAGAGGAGACAAGACATGGATTTAAAACAGGATAAATTTTGTGAAATTAGAATTGAGTAGTAGTATTAGAAGAAGTAGTAGAAGTAGAACAGGTAGATGTAGCAGTAGGCTATGTTGGATAACTTGTAATCCTTCCTTTACATGAAATACATCTATAGAACTGGAATGCTTAAAAATTCATATAACTGTCTTCAAACTATTCATATGTATGTATGTGGCCCTAAATCTCTGCATGCTTTTAATGCCATGAAAGAAGCCGTAAATTTGCCAACTTTTAACAAATCATTGTGTAAAATGTCCTGCCCTGTATCTTTCCTTTCCTGCATGTAGGATGCTTGACAAGAAACAAAAATTTTGAGTACTGTAATGTCCGAGATAAACCAGTCAATTATGCAATGATACTTTCTTTATCATCACAAATAATGCCTACAACATCTGATACATGAAAATTGTAATGAATGATAGTATTATAATATGAGGCACCTCTACAGCAGGGGATATAAATTCAATTTTATATAAGATCACATACTCGTTACATTTCCTGTCTGTGGTCAAGACTTACCTGGTCACATAATCCCTGACAGGGTTTATTGGTTTGACCAGTGAGTTGTAGAGCATCTTCCCTTTGTCATCGGTGAGAGAGACCCTAGCTAGCTCAGTACCAGCAGTCGTTATCACCTTCAAGAAAATTATCAATCTACTTTATAATACCTTTCATGACACAAATGACAAATGTGGAAATGAGGGTTTAATTCCTGGAATGTCCCATATGCAACTGAATATTTTTTAATTTCTAATGGATTTTTTAATCAAAATTGACATAAAGATATCATTTTATTTATGTTTTGTCTGATTCAAGCTCTAGTAGGGCTATCAGCTTGATACAGTCATCAAGATAAACTGTAATCTTAGATGTGATCAGTATCGTAAGGGACAAAATAGTTTGGAAGTGCCCATGACGTGACTTAACATGTAGTTTAAGCTTATGTTTCTTTGAACCAAACTAATCATGAGCCATTTTTTATATTCTCACCTAGATGTTTGATAGGTGGGTTCTTATGGTGAATTTGACACCATTTGAATGATTACCCGTTAACAGACGTTGTCAGTCACCATGAGTGGACTTCACTTTTATGACTGACAGGCCTTGTGTAATGCACTGTGCCTTACCTAAGGAATTCTCATCCTATTATGATGCAATACACATGGACACTGACTACTATGTGGCTCTAACTTCTTTCGTGAAGGCTCTATTGCGATTAATTGCTGACATAGCAAAAAAGTCCCATAACAGGAAGAAGAGAAACAGAAGCTCTTACTGCTTAATCAAAATTGTGAACAATGTACATCATCCTACCAACCCCTTTCACATTAATAATGCAATATCATTCACAATAGCACTATCACTTTAAAAATAAAGTTGAGTTCTGGTCATGCGATTCCATTGTGAAAGAAACGTGGAATCGATCAGAAAAGGTTGAACATCTAGGATATAAGTATTGGTATGAACTGCAAGGTTCTGAAATCATCAAAATGATAAGTAATTTGGCCCAGTCTTGGCAAAGTTTTAGCACTATACATAGAAAGATGTATATGGGTCTACACGAACATGCGGCATAAAAATCTGTCCTGATTTGTATGATGTTACATGCCATATTTGAAATATTAAGGCACTTGAAGAGCCATGCTTTTCAGGTAACCTTTTTTTTCTGATGTTCTTCCACACTTGCATAATACAATAACACTCACAAACTATTTTTCACCTCTTCCCAGAACTCAAATTTCTCTTTAAGGACATGTACATACCATTTCACAGTCAATGCCTATGATGGGGCTCTGATCAGTGACTTGCTCCACAATCCTGGTGTGAACACACCCCTCGTCACCCGGACGGGGGTAGCCCCTACTCTCCATCTCCTCCCTGCTGACTAGGTAGTGGGTCTTCCCTGGCTGCGGTGCTCCATCCACAATGCCATTTTCAGCCTTTCCCTCAATCAATTTCAGTTCTTCTTCGACCTGGTTCTCCTTGACTGCTTTCTCATATTTCATAGCTGTAGAAAAGAACAAACAAGAAGATAATTTCTTATGATTATGAGACAACTAGCCTCTGGGCTACCATTTCCTACCAACTATCCCTAAAGGACTTCTACCTAGACAGCTCAACTCGCCCGTCTACTATTTAAAAAACAAAGGATGGCAATTATATATCACATTAATTTAATGGATATTTCAGTCTCTAATATGAGATAACCAACGGAACAGAATTCAGTTTATCGTTCTATTGTCATTGTTTTTTGAGACAAAACTTTTAAAGTAATCTTAATTGCCTGGTAATGACAGAAAATTAAAACAAGAATTTATACCTCATACCACAAACTAACCTTACTACTAAATGATTTTAACTGATATTGAATGCTTTTTTTAATATCCCACAGATTTATACTTAGCTGACCTAAATGATATAATTCAATCCAATTAAAAAGGATTTCCTCCTATAACACCTTTACCTGCTATTATCCTATGCTTGTGAAGGCTGAACTTGGTGTTGCTTTTCACGGTAGATAGAACATCTTGGAGCATGGCAAAGTAACTGAGAGCTGGAATGACTTTGGTAGACTGAATATTGGAGCAGATAACAAATATCAAAATGCAAATGAGATAGATAATTATATCAAGAATAACACCTTCAACATACATTAATAGTTAGGACCCCAAAACAATGGAAACACCAACAAATATGATATATCAAATACACTACATCATACATGATCAACAGAAAATCAGAAATGCCTGCATTATTAAATCATTTGATTTGTGATGAAGCTGAATGATACCACATGCCACAGTGCAAATAATAGATGGCAGCTCAAAATTTCATTCCTAGCCAATCTAAGGTTAACTTACTTATCATGATAAGTTTGCCTTTTAATATAAGGTTAACAAATAGTAAATTTGGTAGAAAGTTAATGTAATGTTTCTTAAATCCCAGTTTGTTCAAAGAAAAATGATTAGTTAAAACTGGCTATAAATGGTTACCGCCTAGAAGCAACTACACAGACTCAAATACAGAGAAAATTTTCCTTTTTTGTACATAACCCTACCAGTAGACATCATTCAATCTTAGAAAGAAGATATTCCCCAAGGCTTGAATATCAGACTATGAGAGTAATGAAAATATAACAACATGAGGCATTACTCACAAGGGATTTAGAAGCTATGTTTGGGAAGCAATGTCTCTTTCTCCTGTAGATTCGGCTGGTAACACCATTCAGAATGATAAAGACGACCTTCTTGATCTTACCAACCCTCAGTAGCTTGCACCAACTGTACCAAATAACAGAATAAAGAATCATAATATTTTAGCATATCTCAGTTGGTATCATTCAGACTTAGTATGTGAATTTCATATTCTATATACATTATCAATGTGTACGCCACTTCCAACAACGTTTTCATTGTTTCTCTTTCTTGCTCCTCCTCTCTCTCTCTCATGTGACATCCCCGTTGACCAAAGGTCCATTAGAACAAGGGCAACTGAGGCCAGAGTTCAACATTATTTTTCTTTAAAATAACTGTCTAGTTCTTGGAAAATTTCTTTCAGAGGATTATATACAATCCATGGTAATCCTCAAAATAGTAGATGGTTAAAAACTCAATCAAAATCGTTCGATTTTGTGGGTCTCCAGCCTCATAGACTTGGGTTAAATAGGCTTTCTCTCTCTTTCTCTTCCTCTTTCTCTTTCTCTCTCTCTCTCTCTCTCTCTCTCTCTCTCTCTCTCTTACTTTATCTCCCTTCCTCTTTGACTTTCCTCCCTATCTGTTGCTCTCCTTTTCTCTGTCTCTGTTTCTCTTTTCACTGATTATCAAAGAATATCAAAATCTCATACCTTGGTGGAAAACTTGCAGAGTTCCCTAGCAGTCCATACTGGAGAAGATACAAGACTTCTGTGAGTGTTATTGGATCTTTTCGTTTAAATATGGTTGGCACTTTTATCTTTGGTGAATCTACACTCTTTTCCGTGCTGCTGCCATTGTTTGCGATGTGGTTACCATTCATTTTTGGTGTATTCTCATTTAGAAACAATTTTGGTTGTTGCTGAAAATAAGAGAGAGAGAGAGAGAATTGTAAATACACATTTAAATGATGGCAATAAGATCTATTAAAGGTACTATGTCCCATTTGCAGGCCAAAAAATTAAAAGGTTAAATTCCAATGGCATTTGAAAGATAATACTAATTTAGAACTTCCCTAAAAAAGGTTGGGATTAAAAATGTCTTCAAGAGGGAAAATAACGACTATTAGTTGTCAAATCGACTTGAGAGCTGTAGAGCCAATAAGTAATAGTCTTGATTTTTAGACCATTGTACCGAATGGTCATACGTTTTATGCTACGCAAAGATTCAATCAGTTTAATTTTGGCCATCACAAGAAGTGGGTTATTGCTATAGACAAATGCTCATGTACCATTTACAGCTATTTTATGTATGTTATTACCAAAGAAGAAAAAAATCCAGTTAGTCACTCAATAGTGTCTGACAGTGAAGTCTAGCATGTAAACGGGTTTCCTTGCATAATTTGAATATTAGGACACTGCTAACGTTTAAATTTTAAAGATAGAACATATATGACATATTCATAATTCCTGCAAAGTTCTAGGGCAATTCCACGGTAACGGAAGGACACTCAGACAAGATTTTTGAACTTCAGGTTCATACTAAAAGAAATGTTTTATTAGTATGTATTAAACTATGGGGAACAAAATGTGTTTCAGTCAAGTGGAAAGCTTCATCAACTTCACAAAGTTTGGATAAACACTAATTAACTGGAAAAACCATGTCCATTTTTATGTCCTTCCGTTACCGAGATAATTAATATGCACATTCTTAAACTACTTAACTATAATGACAATTTTTTTTGGGAGAATTAAAGGCACTTATATAGGTATTATATCTGTACTGTTTCACATCTTATACTAATAAAACAGTTCTTTTAGTATGAACCTGAAGTTCAAAAATCTTGTTTGAGTGTCCTTCCGTTACCGTGGAATTGCCCTCTACAGAATTTGAGGTTGGCTGCAAAAGGGACATAGTACCTTTAAAATAGATCAATTGTGAAGAAAAAAAACAAATACAAATATTTAGTAGTAAAATGTAACATGAAGAAAGTAAAGAGACCTTGTTCATTCACAAGCAAGACATTTCAGTATCAATGAATTTTCATGTAACACTTGAAAGGTAGAGTAAAGAAGTACTTCTGAAAAATACATGATGATGTAATTTTTTTGCCACGGTCCACACTCATAAAAAGACAGATAAATGAATGCTGATAGATAAGCAGATTGGTCAAGCTATGCAGCTTTTCTTACCATCTTCATCTTCTGAAAATAAACTTTCCTCTTCTTCCATTCTGCCGTTTCTTCTGCTGAGTATTTATGTTCGCGTTTGGGAGACGGCACTGCATCGCTGATGGTTTCTTCACGATTTACTGCCTGTTAACAGAGAAAAAAATATTAATGTTATGGTTAACCCTGCTTGAGTGACTACCTGGAAGGAAGACTATGTCTGAATTAATGATGGCAGTGTTTCTATCCACCCCTGTATTAAGCGAAGAACCTTTATGTTTTGTAAAAAGGACACATAGGTCTGCTAACTTCTTGTTTCCTTGATCAGTCTTATGTAACGGTCTTTCTTTCCTGCCATATTTTGCTTGAGGCATCTAACTTGGAATAAAAACAGTATTTTGGTTGCCTTCCAAAACAAAATACTTAAAAAGCAAGGGTTGAGCACCACAACCTTTACTGTTTAGTTGTCATATGATTTACTAATCATATTTTTTTAATCAAATTAATATAAATTTATACCTGAGCAACAACTGTTTTTTCTTTCTTCTTCTGCTTCTTTCCTGAAGGTTCCTCCTCATCCTGTTTGGATGAAGTCACAATGGCAGCAGATTTACGCTTCCTGCTTGGCTTGGTTGAATTCTCTGCTACACCCATTTTACTTGATGTCAGCTTCAAAGATATAAGATTAGGAAAAGGAAAAAAAGTGAAGATTTCAATCACTTTGCCAGAAGAAGTGCAATTTGTTTTAAAATAAATTAGCGGACGATTTTTCCATTGGCGGTCTGCGGGTGTTGGGTTCTCGATCCACGCGCCGACAATGCGAAAAACAGAAAATACCCCTAGTTCACTGTCTACTTTTATGGGTTGTCCGTCTCCCCAAGGATTAACGTTCACAACGTGTAACTTAGTGTGAAGTGCATCAAGGAGCATCATCGCTGAATCAGATTTTCGCATCGCCAAAGCGTGGACGCGTCTGTCCGCGTTTACGAAGACGATACTCGTTTATGACGAAAATCCTTATTCTCCGATCAGCGCCCCTACTGCTAAACCCAGTACAATTAGGCCTATTCGCAAATCATAAACCGTGTCATCCGCTCCGGTTCCGTGTTCATATGAAATGCAGCTAGAATTATATTATTATTCACTGATTAATGAGAAGAAATACTTCAAGATGGAATCACGATCGCATTAAAAGAGTGATTTTCACTCAAAGATCTAGAACATCTACACCTAGTTAGTTACTCGATTCATGGCTCATGCGTCATGACATGACATGCATGTCATGCATTTGTGTTTTCCACGTTTGCTCACACATTTCGTAATGTGTGGGACCATTCTGGTAAAAACGATCGAAGTATTAACACGTCTCAATTTGTTACCGGGTACATAAAAACAAAAATAAACATACCATTTAAACGAAATCGTTGTTATTTAACAGATGCATTATAGAACCATTCATGCCATGGGTTATCTGAACGTTAATCGATAAAATCTAAGCATTAAATGTAAATCATTAAATGTAAATGTGCGTCTGCTTACCCCTGCATGCGTGATTGAAATCCGTCGAAATGGAATTCTGACGTTGCCAATATAAATCTCCTTACAGATTTGTGCTGAGGTGTCGCGATGGGCTGAGTGCATGACCACAGAACATGAAAATACGGAATTTTACCGGGGAGAGCTCGAGAGAGGTAATTTATTACGGAGGCCCACATGTTTATATCGACAGCAGGGGCGGATCAATTGGGGGGGGGGGGGGGGGGGGGAGGCGAGGTGGCACACGGTATCATATCTCCCTCGACCTTTACATTAATTCAACTCACTAAACCTTTATTTATTTATTTTTCATATTCGAATACATACAGTGGAAATAACTTACGGGTGGCAACTTTTCTTAAAAGCAAACGTTTGTGGTGAGAGTTTGTGGCCTTCATGCTTATGATAGTGGCCTCATGCATGCAGTGCATCTTAATTGATTCTTTGACGTTCGGTTCTTCATATGAGAGTTAGTAACTCCATATGCATTTTAATTTATGTGTGTGTATTCAGTTGTCACTCTTTATGTAAATCAATTATGCTATTATTTTTATTTGAATCAATAAATGCAGAAACATCTGATACAACCCCCCGGGCCCCCCCCCCCCCACCCCCAACAAAAAAATGAACATGAACATGTCACTTTGTACATGATACAAATTTCACATGGGCAAAAACAATAAGTGAAAATTCCCAAGGATATACGAATATACACACACAAAGGACAGACAATAACACACACACACACAAAAAAGAGACGAATAAAAAGGATTGTCATCTATGCCTGACGCACACAACAAAAATATATTTCTTTCTTTAAATCTTGATTTAAAAATGAGTTCAAAGGTGCTCGATCATTATCTCCATAATCATAAAAATCAGTCCCTGTCTATGGGCAAACTATTTAGACCTTCTTTGAGTTTGATGCCATTGATTTTATCAGTTTTAAATTGACTGTACATTTGCCCCCGTTTCCCTCATTTTGGTGGAGTAAACGTAAAGAGCACAATAAAGCCAAAAGCATAAAGCACAAAACTCCCCTCCCCCCAACTCCCCCCCCTCTCTCTCTCTCTCTCTCTCTCTCTCTCTCTCTCTCTCTCTCGTTCTCTCTCTCTTTGGGGTCGGGCTAACCGGATCAAAGACAATATATATATATAGAGAGAGAGAGAGAGAGAGAGAGAGAGAGAAAGAGAGAGAGAGAGAGAGAGAGTTTGGGAGGAGGTGTTTTGGGGCTTTATGTTCTTTACATTTACTCCACAAAAGAGAGGAAAAAAGGGGCAAATACGCAGTCAATTTTAAACTGATAAAATCAATGGCATATCAAACTCAAAGAAGGTCTATATACCGTGTGAGTCAAAAAAAAGTTTACACCTAGAAAATTGCTAAGTATTTTTAAAATCATCTATGAACAGTAAATTATTATACATCTCATGAAAGAGTGTTTTATCCCAAATCATTGTGTTCACGCTTGGATGAACAGGTGGCATTGTTTGCGAGAGTGCAAAAATCGACTTGCGCCAAAGTGATGCCTTCAGTATGTATTATGTTGGGATTAGCGGAGTGAGGGAATGAATTGAATGTATCAAATGAAATGCATTGCATATGTTTTTTTGCAAAGGGCAAAGTCACACACACCCACACACACGCGCACAAATTAATGTTCGTTGATATTTGATATTCGATATTTGATATGTGTGGCATGATTAATTTTGTTAGGGATGTTATTTGGATCTGCAAAGACCGAATTAATACCCAAATCCCAATTGTTTTATTCAAACATCACATAGGCAACTTTGGCGCAAGTCGATTTTTGCACTCTCACAAAAAATGTCTCCTGTTCATCCAAGCGTGAACACATACCACACAAAAATGGTACCAAATGATTTGGGATAAAACACTCTTTCATAAGACATATAACAGTTTAATGTTCATCGATGAAATAATTAGCAATTTTCTAGGTGTAAACTTTTTTTTGACTCACTCTGTAGTTTGCCCATAGGGCCAGTAACTCGGCTGCGCTGCAAAAACGGTCATTTTTCTGTCTTTTACCTTAACCCCTAACTCTAACCCTAACCCTAAACCTTATACCCTAACCATAAACCTGCAAAAACAGTATATATCCCGGCCCCTCTCCGTATTTCTCTCTCCCCCCGCGCGTCCGCCCCCCCCCCCTCTCTCTCTCTCTCTCTCTCTCTCTCTTGAAACCATGAACTTTATAGTTATTTGTTTTATAGTACTTAAGCGCTTTTGACGCACATTTCTTGTATTAATTTACAATATTATATAACCAGGCTGTTTTTTTTTATTATTATGATCTGTTGCTTTGAGGGACCTGACTTTTGCAAGCTAGGCTTTTCTTAATTAGGTCGATCTCCTCGATCGTCTTTCTGTATTCACTAAAATGCATTATTGACTTGTTTTGATTATCGTAATTGTTCCTTTTTATATGTACTCTGTCACATGTAATAAATTTGTTAAATTGTATTACATTCAAGTTGTAAGAAAGACAAACTAAACTACTTGAAACTTGACAACTTGAACTTTTGACATTCATCTACAATAATTCAGTGGAGGAGGGGCGAAGAGGGGGGGGGGGGTGGGGGGGGGGGGTTATGAATCATGCCTGCAGTGGTATATAGCTACGCCTAAATCATTATGAGGCCTACAGAAACAAAATGTTGTATTGCCCTTTGCGACCGACCCCAAAATCTTGAAATCCACGGTCGAATTTCTTTAATTTTGTTTACATTTTTTTTTACCGTTTATATCAGCCCAAAGAGGGACGGAAAAAAAAAAGATTTCCGACCGACCAACCCATGTAATTTAAGTCGATACATAATCCAAATGAAAGAAAGTGGAGACCTTAGAAAAGCTGGGCTTGTAAGAGCAAGGTCCCCATATAAAATAATCCATCAAGGTTTCACTTTTAAAAATGTTTCAAAGTTATCAAAATTACACATGATTGAATATGGGGGAAATATGTACAAAAGGGATAGCTTGAAATTTGAAAAGGAGAGGATGAAAATATATACAAAGGAATCGAGAGGAAAAAAGCAAACTGGAACGAGAAAAACAGAGAAAGAAGAAAGTTATAATGGTATTTGGTGTAAAGAAAAAGAAAAATAGAAGAGAGGAGGGGGGGGGGGTGGGTGGGGGGGGGGGAGAGAATGTGAAATGCTGACATTTATATTGAATAATCAAACATAACAAAAACAAAAAGATAATGCACGTTATCAATAACAATTGATAAATTATTACCTAATATCATTTCTGGTGATATAATTTTTACGTTAATTGTCGACATAGTTACTCAATAAAGGGCTTGCAAGAACAACATCTTTTTTTTTTAGTGAGAGTCTGAGACAGATCATTGATATTCGATCGCGAGATTACCTATTTAATTGAAACACTTCAACTACACACTTCTAGACCATTTACTTCGCATCGATCACTACTGTACATAGTTCTACACGTTCGTACTAAATTGGCATCAATTCCCCTTTTAGCACATAAACATGGCGTCTATTAATCAAGCAGCTCGGGCTGCGGCTGTAGCCAGGCAAGTAAAGCCTTTTATGTCGAAGAATCCTGAAGAAGCCAGAGGAAGGGTGATACAGCTATATAAAGCTTGGTGGAGAGAAGTACCTCATGCAAGTAAGGATGGTCATATGATGTGAAGAATTATGAATTTGATCGAAAATGATGCGTTTGTTGCGTAAGGATTTGCCTCCCCGTTCATCGGGCATTTGACCAGCAGCTCCGCGGGCAGGATCGGGGTGGCGTGGGCCTGGTCATGGTCTCACCGCACCGTCTAACCTAGACGTTCGTTAGCCTCTTATTGGGGTAGGGTCGGCTCTCTCTTTAGAGACGGAAACCGTATATACACATTCCCTTGATAACGCCACGGCCATTTCAGGTCGTAGCGTTTTGCCCCCAAAATCCCCCAAAATGTCATTTTACCTCATGCATTGATTATTTAAAATTAGGAGAAGGTAATAGTTATACTACATCGGTTCCACTTACCAACTTGACTGAAATAATCCGTTTAATGGTCCCTTTTAAGGAAATTATGGGTCAAAATCGATATCCATGTTGAAATCTTGCAAGCCGTGTTAAACTCTCGCTGCGCACGGAGTCATCTAAATCAATCTCATCCCTTCTAGTCTAAGCCGAACGCAAAACAATTATGAAGGAAAAACATCGATAACGCCATTACGAACGTGTAGATGGCGCACAGTTTTTCCTGCATAATCGTTTTGCGTTCGGCGTAGACTAGAAGGGATGAGATTGATTTAGATGACTCCGTGCGCAGCGAGAGTTTAACACGGCTTGCAAGATTTCAACATGGATATCGATTTTGACCCATAATTTCCTTAAAAGGGACCATTAAACGGATTATTTCAGTCAAGTTGGTAAGTGGAACCGATGTAGTATAACCTTCTCCTAATTTTAAATAATCAATGCATGAGGTAAAATGACATTTTGGGGGATTTTGGGGGCAAAACGCTACGACCTGAAATGGCCGTGGCGTTATCAAGGGAATGTGTATAGACGGTTTCCGTCTCTAAAGAGAGAGCCGACCCTACCCCAATAAGAGGCTAACGAACGAAAGAGACGGAAAATTTGGTCTACGTCTAACCCCACTCCAGCAAAGCATAGAGTCAATCAGTCAATGCTAATGCGTATTGACCTCTAGCGCTGAATACTTGCTGAGAGGCAGCAATTGCACACACTGCACACTATTGCTCACAAGCAAGTTTGACAGTCAGCTGACAGTACTAGACTACTCAGTAGACTCTAGACTCACAATTTGAATTTTCATTAGCAGTAGGGGCGCTGGTCCGAGAATGAGGATCGTCCTCATAAACGCAGACAAAAATAAGTACCGTCTGTATTTTCGAGGACGTTTTTTTTTCATCGGCGCTCTGCGGGTTTTGGGTTACCAAACGGCCAGCTGGCGATGCAAGAAATGGATTCCCTGTGGGAATATAACCCTAGTTCACCGTCTACTTTTAAGGGTTGTCCGTCTTCCTAAGGATTTATTGCTCATAATGTGAAAGTCTCTGTACAAAGTCAATGTAAAATACTTCAAGAAAATCATCTGGGAATCCTTTTTTTTGCATCGCCAAAGCGCTGATCTGCCGATCTAAAATATGAAACGTCTGCGAAAATGCAGACGGTCCTCATTTTAGAGGACGCATCGGTCTGCGTTTACAAAGACGACCTCTTTTATGAAGACGATCCTTATTCTTGGACCAGCGCCCCTACTGATTAGGGGGTCTAGTCAAACATCGGTTTAAATAGTAAAAATTGTATTTAATTTTTAGCGAATTCAGTTGAGTTTTTTGTACAGTGGTGTTTGAAATGTTGAGAATCAACTGAACAGTTTTTAATACACAGTCAGGCAGCCGGCAAGATAATGCAGCTACAAATGTGGTCTGTGTGGTCTATATTTCTATAAACCCTACATGTATGATGTAGATGTAGTCTATACCTAGATTTCTAATGTGCTTCAATGTGTAATTATGTAATTTCTGTTTTCTTTTGCTTATCCTTCATTTAACAGTTCAACAGTATCAGCTAGACATATCTGTCAAAGAAGGAAGAAACAAGGTGAAGGAGATGTTCATGAAAAATGCACACATCAGGGATTACAGAGTCGTGGATATGTTAGTGATAAAGGTACATTTTACTATGTCTAAGACTCTAAGTAGCAAAATACCATTCATTATATATCATGAAATTGACAACATTTCCTCCCTCAAATCCTTTGTAATAACATTCTGTTTAATGTTCATGTTACTATTCAGTGTGCTGTAAAATTGTAAATATTATTGTACATTTTCTTTCCTGTAGATGGAGCCCACATGTAAATTTGTGTGCAACATGTATGACAGCATATGTTGCTCTTGTGCAATAGATATTTGAATTTATAGGTGTGATGTTTTTTAATGCATATTTTTAATGAATGATAAATAAATGTTCTGCTGCGGTGCTGCCCATATTCACATAACATTCAAAGTCAATATTGTGATTCAAAAGATGATTCCCATTTCCCAAAGATAATGTAGCATGTTCAGTGAAACTGCATTTGAAAAGAAAAATTATTAAAAAGTTATGTACTGAACTTATGCATCAAAATGTTTTTTTAAAATATAAATCAGATGAAAATAGAATAAGCTATTTGTGTTATTGATATGTTAGCTTCAAACAAGTTTGTGTGACATAATTGCCTAAGCATTTTTTAACAGTTTTCCAATCTGAATTTATTTATCATCATAGCAGAACCGAAGACTAGTGCCTACATATCTGTGAGATGGCTACGTGTATACGGAACCTTCGAAAGAATAACCCATACCCAACTCTGTATTATACATGTACATGTATATTTGAATATATGAATGACACTTTTTGTGGAGTTGGTTAAACTGGTAGCACAGACTAGTCTAGCTCCGAGACCCTTTTTATGTTCTTGCATGCTCATAAATGAATTAATATCAACTATGATTTTTGCTATTTTTCAGTAAATTATTTGTTTATTTTTCCATTACTCATTTTCCAAACTGCTTTATAATAAACAATATCCTTCCGTTTTCTCTTCCTGTCTCTCGCTTTCTTTCCCATTCCATTTTTCTCCTCCCTTGGCTCTCTTCTGAACACTTCCACCACCCTGTCACTGCTCTCCACCCTACTCCCCATTACAGGGAAAGATGGAATTAGAAGAAACAATCAAGGTCTGGAAGCAGAGAACCCACGTCATGCGCTACTTCTACGAATCAGAGCGACCAGCACAAACAGACTTCCTCAGCAAATTCTATTCGGGAAAGGAATGATGGCATATATATCTAGTTAGCATATTTAGTTCTGTACCTACATTGTAGAAATTGTAATGTATAATATTGCATTGAAATACACTTGGTATCTATTGGAAGGCATGGACAGTCCCGATTGTTTTGATTTTATTGGATACGTTCAGATTTCTTCTTGTCAAAATCACATCTGCAATGTTATGAAGCAGTCTTGATGCTGGGAGATGCTCCTAGGTTAGAAATGATTGATTCCTAGATGTGTGAGGAATTTGTTTTTCTGTAGAATAATGATCAATGGCAGACACGTGTTCATGACATGATGGGTTTAGTTGAAGCTCCTCCTGAAAAACAAGGGAAACGCTCTCGGCGGTCTCGCCTGCATAACGCAATTCAATATGATAAACCAGAACTTCAATGACGCAGCGCTCATCCGCATCTCGCAACAACAAATATCGTAAATTTTATGTGGAACACTTTTGAACTGGTCAAAAAATAAAAATTTGATGCCCTGGAAGGGACATAATTTCATTTCATTTGCATAAAGTACCATAAATAATCAATGGAGCAAAGTCTCAAAATTCTGTGTAGAAGTTTAGTGTTTCAAATTTAGCTCTACCAGATAAGGCAAACCAAATCAAAATCGGTCAAAAAATGAGGGAGAAGAAGCAACTTTTGTTATTTTTGGAATAAATTTGCATAAATTACCATAATTAATTAATGGAGAACAATTTCAAAATTCTGTGTAGAAGTTTAGTGTACCAAAGTTAGCTCTACCAGATAAAGCAAACCAAATCAAAATCGGTTGAGAAATGAAGGAGAAGAAGCATTTTTTGCGATTTTGAATAAATTTGCATAAATTAGCATAGATAATGAATTTCACGATTCTGTGTAGAAGTTTTAAATCCCCCTCCTAGCCCTATCATATGAAACAATCAGTATCAAAATCGGTTGAAAAATAACGAAGAAGAAGCATTTTGAAAATCTTGATGTTGATGCCACAACAAAGTCTAAGTTTATTGACCTTAAATGACCTTTGACCTTAACTTAGTGACCTGAAATTCTACTCACATGATTGGGGAGACTTGATAACCCTATAGTCCAAGTTTCATTGACTAAGAACTTATACTTTCAAAATTATATCAAAAATTCAAAAACTTAACCTTAGGTTAAGTTTTTGATGATGATGCTACAACATAGTCCAAGTCTGTTGACCTGAAATGACCTTTGACCTTGACTTTGTGATCTGAAATTCTACTCACATGATTGGGGATACTTGATTACCCTCTGGTCAAAGTTTCATAGACTAAGAACTTATACTTTCAAAATTATATCAAAAATTCAAAAACTTAACCTTAGGTTAAGTTTTTGATGTTGACGCCGTCGCCGTCGCCGTCGCCGCCGCCGTCACCGGAAAAGCGGCGCCTATGTCTCGCTTTTTGCTACGCAGGCGAGACAAAAATGGATAATCGAAGTAACCAAAGAGCAACGTCTTCTACAAATTCAAGGTTGATTGGGCCAAGCCCTTCGCATGCCACATACATCCATAGGAATAGATTTGTTTACTATTTTTTTATTTGATTGATGCAGAGCCCCTGGTTACTTATAATGTAATTTGCCTGCTATACATAATGGCATCTCGGTAGATGGAATCTGCTTTGTATACATTAGCTGTCGCTGTGTCTGGCAAACCTCTTGGTAGCTTTTGAGTTGTCAAGAGAAACTTTGGTGTAAGAAATATGCTTGGAATTAGTAAACGGGTCAATCGTGTGTAAAACTGAGGCAATGGCACGGCAGAGGTTAAATATGTGAATTATATAATGTATTCAGTCTTTATGCTGTTTTTGACACTGATTACTCTACTGGTATTCAAATATAGATTCTCTGAAGTGAAATTTACTCTTTTGATCAGATCTTTCATTTGATAGTGATCAATGAGATTATCTGATATTATTGTATCAACTAAAATGCTCATCTGCCTAAGTGACAAGTAAAACAAAACATCATTTGGGATGTGTCTCTTTGTCGCCTGCTTCATAGGGCTGAAGAAGGCAATTAATCTGTATGCAAGCCTTGTGTACTCAAGTGTATTTCTTAACTGCATTGGAAAAAATATAAATTTTTTCAAAGAGAAAACAATATGCTGTATTTCTTTGACTGTGTGTTGATGTAGAATTTAATGTACAGATGATCAGAGTTTTAGAATTTAATATCTTGGTTTAAGGTACTGCCAGGTATGTACAGAGTCGAGTGGAAATGAAAAAAAAGGAGAGAAATACCTTCCAAGTTGGTGAGAGTTTGAGTTAACAAAGAACAGGAACATTTGCCTCTCTTAATTTTAAAATTATTGATAAGAATACTTTCCATTTGGAGAATTGGACTAGAGATGGATGGAGAGAGAGAGAGAGATAGAAGTGGTGGGGGGGGGGGGGGAGGGGGGTAGACAAGAGAAAGATATCAAGAGAGGTGGGAGCAAGCTTGATCTAGGTTAATTTTTGAGAGACAGAAGGGTGATAACTGATGTGAGTTAATGTCCTTTTTGTGAGTACACTGTATTGTGAAATTATTTAATTACCAATTCTAGAACTCTCTGGATCTCAATTCACATGTGTGTAATGCACAAGCATTTATAAGTCAATAAATATAAAAGCACAAGCACTGTAATAAGAATGCATTATTGGATTTAATTACTTTCAGAGATAGCAGAATGTTATATACAGTCTTCATGCACACACACATAGACACTGTATAAAAAGATAGGTACATTATGTACACCATTAATATATTTCTTTTCTTTAATGAAGAAAAATTAGTATTTACATACTGATATGGCCTGCATCGATTATGGGCAAATCTACAGTATCTGGTCATATAATGCCCCATACGTGTCACGTTACTCATCATGATAATTGATAATTGGCCTGATTTAGGCCCTAGTAGGGCTAGTAAATCAATACAATCCTCAGAAATATGTCCAAAACTTGAGGTCGGTAATGTATTGGAGAAATAGCTTGAAGCCTTGGACTTGCCCTAATTGCAGTGACTGATTTACTGACGCAAGCTTAATTAAAGATCTTTGTAAATGAAATTGAGGACCAGTATAAAATACATTACTGCACAGTACATGAAATCCTTTCTGTCAACAATAGATACAGAGTGCAATTTATGCAGTTAAGGTTTTCCAATATATTCCACAATGTGCAATTGTTAAGATCAAAAATAAAAGTAGTGGTGAACTTTAATAATGGTTATGCATGCCTGACATACCAGATGCACTCAGACTGCATTTCAGAGGTCGCCTGCAAATGCACGTAGCTCCCAAAACATTTCTGCATAAATCAGTAAATTTGTAGCCTTCTTCATTAAAGAACACACGCGGACACCTCAGATAATACACATCAAATAATAAACATGTAAAATACCATAGGTTAATCTCAGATACTGAACATGAACAATTAAAAACAAATTATACATATAAGTATAAATCATAATACAGTACAGAACAATTGCAAAAGTGGACAGATAAAGATAGTGGACAGATAATGATAGCAAACAGAAAATAAAAGGATTAGGTCATATAGACCATATAAAATATCTAGTTCATTCATTGCAGGTTCATGATTTCATAGAATAAAATAAAGCCTACACATACACAAATTATTAAAATAAATGACTTCAGCAGCAGTATGAGTTCCCACAAGACAGGGATCCACACAAACATTTTTCGGGAGGGGGGGGGGGTGAAATATCCAGGGTCTATATGAGCTCCATTTTGAAACTTGGGGGTCAGGACTAACATTTTGGTGCCCATGGCCTGGATTCAACAAAATGGTATCATCCAGTTAAAACTTGTGGTTTAAACCTTCATAAACGTAGTAGATAAGATGCATGCTCTCATTTTCAATATTTGGGCAATACATACACTTCTGTTTGCTTCTTCATACTTAGGGGGTGGGGGGGGGGGTTTAAACCATTTAAACCTTGGTTTAGATGGTCGGTTAAATTTTAAACCCCTTTTGTGAATACGACCTGAGGTGCCTGTAAGTGTGGAGCCCTATACCAGGTATTCTTATTTGCTAGGTGACAACCTTGTCTACTCACAAATAAGGATATCAGCCATAACATACAGAATAGCAACAAATTTGGGGAAAATTTACACTCTATTCTATCTCATCTGTTTAAAAAAAAGTAATGTCTACACTCTACACACAATTGAGTCTCACTGATAGAACTACATACTGTACACTTCCACTAGGGCAATTCCATGCATTGTGTTCTGTACGACGTAGGTCTTTTCTACATATATTTCATCAACAATAAGAAAGAAAGAATCTCATGACATTACCATTCAGTAATGTGCTTTCTGGTATCGCTATTCATAGTCATGCCCAGAGATTTCACATTCATGGATGAAATATTTAGATAGACGTTATATTTAATGGGACACATATTGCATGAAATCAGCAAGTAGGTTGCCAAAATTGTTGGGTCTAGTTGGGTTTAGTTAATTTGAATAAAATAAAGTGTCAGAAGTTGATGTCTCTACTAATTTCATAAACCTCCATTGAAGGCTAGGCAGTATACAATACCAATTTACATGTACAGTACTGTACATACATAGGCATTAAATATTCAAAATTCTAACAACTTATGTACCTAATGAATAATATATCAGTATACTATTAGATCCCAAATTTACAAAAAATGTAAAAATATATTCATCTACTGCAGAGAAAGACACTTTTTATACAATCATGATAAATATGAAACAACAGAAAAGAGAAACTGTTAAAGGCCTACATGTATGTAGTTTTTCTAGAATTTCAATTATTCTAATTGATCAATATAAAAATGATGATATTCTCTTTTTGGATAACATTTGGTGAACTGCAGAATTAATGTCTCCAATCACTTTAACAATCTTAAAGAAATTTATATTCAAACCTGGTTTACGTAATTTATTTTCATGAAGCAAATTCTATGTCTTCCGGACTTAATGGTACCATTGAATGAATAGTTCAGATGAAGTGATGTAGTGGTGAACTGGTGATGTACCCTTTTTTCTTTAAAAAAAAAATTACACTCTTTTAAAGTCACATGAAATAATTTTCTTTAAATTACGACTTAAGCCATACCCTTTTTATTTTATTTTTTTACTGTAAATCAATTGAAATGGATTGATATCAAACTCATGCTGAATTTAAATTAATTTTAAAATCAAGGTAATGTTTTCATCATATAATGAATATAAGCAAATCATCATTATACAAATTCTATTCCTTCATATTTGATGTCTGCAAATTTCTTATCCGGCATCAGGATCTTGCCATCAATGTTGAATGCTGTGACGAATGTAGCGATCTTGCCTGCATCTTCTTCCGTCTTCAGCGCAACGATCACCTGATCATTTGTACCTGGGACAAACTTGAAAGACGAATACCCACGAACACTGATCAGCGAACCAATCTTGCTGAAGCGCACGTCCGTGAAGAATTCGTTGCACGTGAAGAGAAGGTTGGTGGCGCGGTGCTCGTCCGCAGTCTCCTCATATTTCTCGGTGCTGGCACGTCGAGGAAGGAAGAACCATCTTTGGTGGATGTTGCTCCAAACGCCCGATTCATGGATCATGTACCCTGTTACAATGAGAAAATTGTAAAATATATTCTTAATAATACAATGACACTCCAACACAACACAGCTTACATGACTCCTATAGTATAATCACATTTAGTGCCAAGTTAGGGTAGCTTATAAATTAAAGATCATGTTTTAGCTAGTTTTTTTGAAGAAAAAAATTCTTTATTAAGTTGCTGCTTCTAAGGGGAGACAAATTTTAGCCTCCCCGCCTGCTTCCTTTTTTTATGCTGCCTGCTTAAAAAAGAAATATGTTTTTTTAATGAAAATACACGAAAAACATACTACTATAATCAGTTTTTTAAATTTCATTTGGCCTTATATGAAGTATAGATCAAAAGTTGTGCCAAATTACAACTGTCCTTGAAAGCAGCTACATGTAGGGCTTATGCCCTACTGTCTATTATGCAATGTCCAAATGATTAAATCACTCTGTTTGATACACTCTTGGCTAAAGCTCAAAATACATTAGAAGCAATAATTTATCAAGGGCACCAACATATGTATACAAACACTTTCCATATCATTTGTCAATTTAAAAAAATGTAGAACATATCCTCTTCAAAGTTTTGGTCAGATCAAAGTTTCAAGAATTTGTATTACTTGAAAAGGATACTATACAAAAATTAAACTCCTGTTCAAAACCCAGTTCAAAACCCAGGGGCAGAGAGGCCTCCAGTTGCTATGATCATAATTTGTTATTCAACAATGGGCCCATAATGCAATTGAACTACAGGGTAATCAAACATTAGAAGCCTTGAAGGCTTGAACATTTCAATACTATGTAAAGAGTCATACAGAGTAGGATGAAATGTGTTGTGGTTCACTGATCCAATAAAGAGGAACATACACTATCATACCAGCATAAGTAAATTGCATTTCAGTTTGAAAGCACTGCCCTGTAGTGCTACTTTATTGTCTGCTTACTAAATCTAAAGAGAGATTTACAAGACATTTTGTGTACATTGTCATTTACAATTTTAAATAGATTCAGATATTTAACCTAGCTAGAATGAAAATTGTACAAGGCAACAATGAACAAGAACCCATGTGCAGCTTGAGAAAGCTGCTGAACGAGTACATGTAGATAATCCCATATTTTGACATCTTTCCTTTTCTATCATGATGCAGGCAGTACCAGCAGAAAAGATGTCAGGTACATAATTATATACCTTCAAAATTTAGCTCTTAAAGAGCACTACTTATAGCTACTTGAGCCCTCTATACTGCAAACAATAATCAGTGACCACTGGTCCCACATGGTCCCCTTTTTTAATGTTAATCGAGAGCTGATTTGATGAGATAACCATCTGCCAGTGACCATGCAGGGAGGTAAAATCCCTCCTGTCCAAACTAGTGCAGATAGGCTTTAATAGCTTTCCTCAAAATATTACCCATGATAATCTGCCCATGTTAAAGATTGCACATGCACTTGTATGTCTTGATGCATACATGTACGTGTGTACATGTATGCTTGGCAGCACGGTGAGCACCTATACTGTATATCTGTAGCCCTTGAATGCAAGTGGATTTTAAACAACAATGATATTCTATATTTGAGAGAACTTTGTATTGGGGTACAAAGGTTTTCACAGTTAGGATAAACTCTGAGCATCCATGATCACCAATTCTTAAGCTTTTGCTCCCTTAAATTGGCCACAAGCCAGTCCTTGCCCCTTCCAAAAATCTATTAATAAAGGGAACATGCAGCAGACTCTCTTAGCTTCAGACAATATTATCTGTCGAATTGCCAGAAAAATAAGAATTTGGTTTCTGAATTCAAAGGGGAAGTCCAATTTACATAATTAATTTGGCAGAAACCAAGAGAAATAGTTCAATGATAGTTTGTATAAAGTTTTCATTTCAATCAAAGAGTTGCCAATAAGTTATGATTGATCAGATTGTGTATTTTAGAAGTTTGTTTATTCTGTATCAGATTTTCCTCAAACTTTCAATCATCTGTTTCTCTAAATTTCTTTTCTGCCCAAGTTATCAAAGCTAAAACTTGATACCAGGGTGGACTTTCCCTTCAAACTGGGCTTTAAAAATAAAACAAAAATGACTACCTGGGTATGGGAATCCACCCTTGTTTCTCATAGCGTTGTAATTGCTGACCCAGTTGACATGGTGAACAGCACCTAGATGACCTATGACCTTGATCCACTGCGGATTGAGATTCACGAGCTCTCCTGTTATGGTTGTCCATTCCTTACCGAGTCCACCAACAAACAAGTGCTGGTCCTTGACAGCCATCCATTCACCTTTCATACCTGTTCAAAGAAATTAACAGTATACATGTAAGGTGGCAAATGATTGTGGTGTATAATCAATTTCATTAAGCGAGGGATATTAGTACACGGTAGAAAAGTACTTTGGTAAGTTAAGACCAGAGTAAGTTGTTGCCATATTAATTCTTGAATTTATTCATCTTCATCTTCCACCTCTCTCTTCTTCTTCCTCTTCTTCTTCATCTCCTCCTCTTTCTCCTGGTCTAGTCAAGTTGTAACTACAGCCAGAAAAATTAGTTAGCCATATTATTTCTTTACCGATTAGAGGGTCTAGTAGTTCTTCATCTCTATCCTCTCCTGTTGTATTTTTGTAATGGACAGAAAAATCTTGTCTATGGTACTTGGAACTTGGAAGAGATTTCAGTCATGGGATTTGGCAAAGTCAGACATTACATGTAGTCTCAGCGGAACATAGAGTCACATGAACATGTATGGTATCCCCAAACTAAATAGACTCCTTTTTTAGAGACAAATTATAGACGTGTCTCAATAAAACATGTACAAATATGAATTAAATTATACCTTTGGTATTCTTCCCATCTCCGTCTGGCAGAATAACCCAGGGGAAGACTTTGTCCCCTGCAACCTCATAGATGACGCCAGTCCGATCATCTACAGTGTATAGCTTTCCATTGAATGTGACCAACTCGGAGAGTTCCATGCCCCGCCCACCCTGCGAAAGCTGGGATTTCAGCGTCACAGGTTTCTCATCCAAGTTCACTGAAATCTTGTCTCCATAGGAGCTGATAGACAGCGACCCCCGGATCAAGTAACTCATCCATTGGTTTTCTTTATTAGGATCTTTATTTGTAGTGTCAGGATCTGAAATAACAGCAATCTTGTATTTTCTGCCATCTACAGTTCTCTCCACTGCTGACATAGGATAGGTATTGTTGTATACAAAAGCTGCCTGGTTGACCTGAAACGGGACATTGGCGCTGAAACTTTGGCCAGTTGCTGGCGAGTTCGGTAAGAGGAGATATAATAAAAATAAAAGCATGATTGCGCCAACTACAATTGCAATCTTCGGTCGCATGAGAGGTGAGATTAAGCGGCTCCCGACGATTGCCGCACTACCACTGCTGCCTGAGCTTCCCCGAGAGTCGAATACCGGAGACCTAACGTATCCACCGCCGTTCGGCATGCTAAATCTAACCTGGAAATTGTGGGAAATGTATCGTCAATGACAATGACAATGCGTACTTAAAGACAAACACTCCAATCACAGATAACAGATATATTGATATTTGCAGTCAAAGGTTATTTCCTATCAGGCCGGTGGCTAAATAGTTTATCCTGTCACTGGTACCTACGGCTTTTCTGTATACGTGGACGTACACTGTTTACCTCGCGACTTAATTGGGGGTACTGGGTAGCGTGCATGCGGCGAAGGTGCTGCAGGCAGGCTGAACGGTCATGAATAAACATGATATGACGTCGCGATATAAGTCGTCGCACTGGTCCGCGCCACGCCTACTCTAGATCTACTCTAGATCCATTTCTTGTTTTGGACATGTTTTTTTTTTCCTTGCACATATTTGATATATAATTTCTTTGGAACTAATTCCCATTAGTTAATAAAGTCATTAAAGCATGTATTTTTTTATAACATCAAATACATTTTGATAGCGCATATGTTTTTTTTAAACATCGCATATATTTTAGACACATTTATTTTAAAAGCGTATTTATTTATAAACATGAAATATTTGAATAAACACATATATTTTTTTAATCAACATTGAATTTATTTTGATAATGCTTATAGTTCTTATATTAAAACATCAAATATATTCAGTTAATTGCGCTTAGCATTTCCTTTGTGCCTTTAATCACTGAACCTATAAGTATCTGATAGTTCCTCTAAATATACATTCATTGACAATCTTCACCAATTAATTTACAACCTTTTCTAGATGCTGACATCATAATTTCTGATCTGTCTAACCATTTTCCTATATATGCCAAGATGCACTGAGCAAACCCACTTGTATCACTATGCAAATAAACACGTTCATAGGAGCAATCCCGAAAATTGCAACTGACTGGAAATGTTGATAGCTCTTTTGATATCTTCTTAGCAAATTTTTGTATTGTGGCATGATGACAATATGCTTCTATGTAAAAGGGATAGCAGAAATCGCAGGAAAATCCCCCGAATGACATGGATTACAAGATCGCTATTGAAATTAATCAATAAGAAAAATAAGTTATATTATAAATACAAGACAACCAAATCAGAACAATGCACTTATGAATTACACTATATATCGGAACACGTTAACTAAAACTTTTTGGTAATCTATAAATTATGTAGGCCTATATATATAATTTTTCAAGTCAATATGTTCACATAATTACAACAATTACGTTTGTCAATTTTTTGAGGGATCCACTTTTTAAAAGCTTTGCTTTTCAGTGGATCCCTCCATTTCCACATTTTTATCTTTAAAAAAAACTTTTTGAAAAGTATTATACTGGATATTTATGTATACTTTCTATTGTATAACTTTAAACCATGTAACATGTATTATTGAATTGTTACTGTTCTGTTGGAAATGAAAAATTTAAACTGAAACTGAAACAATATTACGTGTTTCAAAGCATAATTACTACTTCCATTCAGTTTCAGGAAATCTTGAATGACAAAAAAAAGGAAAATGAAAGGTATTCACAAATATTTTTAAAAGCAACAGTAAAACATCCAGCGTAAGATCTTTGGAAATTGATGGAGAATATGTTGTTGAAAACTTCAAAAGTTATTTTTGTATAGTATTTGGTCCGAATTTGTCGGAGGGCATATCAAATTGTGATAAATCATTCCATGACTTCTTAAAAGAACCTACTCAGCAAAGTTTGTTTTTATTGCCAACAAAATAATGAAAGAGAAGTAGGCCTACTAAGTATAGTTAAATTTTGTAAGATTAGAAAAAGCCCTGGTTTTAATAATATCTCCAACAGTTTAGTTTAAAATGTAGCAGCAAGAATTGTATAGCCATTAGTGCATATTTTCAATCTGTCAATGACAAATGGCTTTGAACCCAGGAATTTTAAAGTTTGTCTCTATTTTCAAGAAGGGTTAGCGAACTAACGGCCCATTTCCCTATCAACATCTTTCTCTAAAATTCTTGAAAAAAACTTATAGAAGTGTAAAGTTACTCAATACGAGTAATTTTTCGGTCCAACTTTCAACTTGGCTTCCCGATAAACATAACCACCCATGCTATTCTGCACTTTATCATTAAAGATTCTAATACTCTGGACAACCATAATATGCACACAATTGGAATATTCTTGGATTACTATATAAGGCATGGCATACAGTAAATCATCCCATTACGGGGACAGGGGTGCTGCCCTGGATTGGTTCAGGAGCTATTTAGCTGACAGACAGCAATTCGTGTCCATTGTTGGTTCTGTTTTAGAGTTTTAAAATGTCAGCTGTAGAGTCCCGCCAGGATCTTTCTTGGTCCTCTTTTATCTGTTCTTTATAATTATAAATGATTTTCAATATTCTGATGTATTATCCTTCAATTTGTTTGCAGACGATTGCAGCATATTTGTTTACACAAAAATGCACACGTCCTCCTTTTGCAAACAGTTAACTCAGAGTTACGCAATATCAAAGCAAGTGTTCATGCAAATAATCTGTCTCTAATTATATAAATCTTTATAAAAAAAAGTTGTATAGCAATTCGCTTAAGATGTTGCCCGGTGACTTTATTTTCAGTGGAGTTTTGATGAACCAACTCATATAAATAATCTATGCAAAATATTGTCAAGGAATACTGGTGTAATTCGTACGTTAAGGTAGTGAGCACATTTTTTTTTTTTTTTTTTTTGGTCCTCGAAAATTTTAAAATTTGCACCCCCCCCCCTTGAGCGCCAGGGGGAGGGGGACCAACCCCCCAAAAAGGTAAAAATCGCGTGATTTTACATGATTTTTTTCTCAAAGGGGGGGGGGGGGGTGGGCCGGGCCCCCCGCCCCCCCCCCCCCTTGGATCTGTAGCCAGCCTAATTTTATTGTGTTTTTTTTCTTTTCTTTTTTTCTGAAACCTTCAGAGAGGAGAGAGAGGAGAGACATACTTTCAATTTTCTCTCTATCCCCCTCTCTTTCTCGCTCTCTCTCTCTCTCTCTCTCTCTCTATCTCACTCTCCCACCCCATTTCTATATCCCATGTTTTTATCACTCTTATCGCCTTCATTTGTACATAATATAGTTTCTTCTCCCCACCTTTTTTATGGTTCAGTTCAAACCACACTGTTCTACTTGTAGCTATACTTGCTCCCTCTATCATGATATAAAACTTCCCCAATCGGCGACTGTTGGTCCCCCATAATGATCCTCCTTTTCTTATGTTAATTGAGATCTGAGTTGATGAGATAGCCACCTGTCAGTGCAGGCGCGGATCCAGAATTTCTTAGGGGGGGGGGGGGGGCAAATTAAAAATTATGTGAGGTACGTAAATATTGGAACGCAGGGAGGGGCGTTTTCTTTTACGTTTCATTAAATCATTAGAGAAAGAAGGCGATTCGTTGTACTGTTCTCGACTCTTAATCCTCGACTGAATTCAATTCCCCCCCCCCCCTCCCGCGCGAAGCGCGGAAGCTTTGACATTTCAAATAATTATTTAAGAAAGAAGACGATTCGCTGTACCGTTCTCGTCTCTTAATCCTTGTCTCAATTCAGTCCCCCCCCCCTCCTGCGTGAAGTTCGGAAGCTTCTACGTTTCATTAAATCATTAGGGAAAGAAAGCGATTCGTTTTTACGTTCTCGACTCTTAATCCTCGTCTCAATTCAATTCCCCCCTCCTCCTGCGCGAAGCGCGAAAGCTTTGACATTTCATTTAATTATTAGAGAAACAAGACGATTCGTTAAACCGTTCTCGAAAATAATCCTCGTCTGAATCCACTTTACCCCCCCCTCCCGCGCGAAGCCAGGAAGCTTTTACCTTTCATTAAATCATTAGTGAAAGAAGGCGATTCGTTGTACCGTTTTCGATTCTTAATCCTTGCCTGAATTTCAAAACTGTTTTTTGTCTGCTTCTTTTTCTTCCTACGTCCTTTTCCTTTTCTCTCCTCTCTTTTTTTGGCCGGCGTTTTTTTTTTTTTTTTTTTTTTTTTAAGGGGAGGGGGGCCATCGCGCCCCTGGCTACGCGCCTGCGGTCAGATGAACATATTTTGAAACCTTGTCCGCCCCCGGGAACTCAAGGGTTTAAGGCAGTATTTTACGGTCAGATAAGAATTCAGGGGCCCGCCTTAGGGCCCCTGGTGGGGTCGAGGATGCGGAAACCTCGGAATCTCAGGGGTTTTAGGCATCTGATTACGGTCAGATGAACATAATTTTTATACCTTATTTGTGACACTGGCAGGACACTGATTGGCGTGAGGTCCAGCGGGCGGAGCCCCCAGAAGCTCAATGGTTTTAGGCATTACATTACCGTCAGATTAGCACCCAGGTATCAGCCTAAGGGCCCTAGGCGGGGTCCAGGGGGCAGAGCCCCCGGAGGCAGAGCCCCCGGAGGCTCAGGGGTTTATAGGCATTTGATTACGGTCAGATGAACATATTTTTCTACTTTATTTGTGACACTGACAGGACACTGATTGGCGTGAGGTCCAGCTGGCGGAGCCCCCAGAAGCTTAAGGGTTTTAGGCACTAAATTACTGAGAAGCTCAGGGGTTTTAGTCGTTTAATTACGGTTAGATGAACATTTTTTGATACCATGTTTTACACTGGCAGTAAACTATTCTTTCTTTCTTGCTGTCTTTCTTTCTATTTCTCTTTAATATTCTTTTTCAAAAAAGTGTGGGGGTGGGAGGGGAGGGAGCTGGAGGCACCCGATCACCGCCGTTCCGCGGGCCCTGACATGTAGGCATCTCAAGAAGAATATTTCTTGCCTGGCTGTAAATTTCGGACTTTGTCAGTTTACAACAAACGCATAAAAAGTATAATTTACTGAAAAATGAGGAAAAATCTCTGAAAAATATGTCATTTCAGCATTATGTGTAAACCACCGTTATGGAATTAGAAATAAACCACGTTTAAATTTTATTTCCCCCGAGTCCCTTCCCCGATCATTACGCCAGTGCCCCCCCCCCCCTGATTTACACTCAAAACCCAACTCTTTCCATCTTGAATCCATAATGTACATTTTGAGTAGCTAAATTTTCTTTTCGTTCATAATATCTTAATTACTGTTCCTTGTTTAATTGTTATGATTTGTAGGTTTCTTTTCTGTTGTATAGCGCTCTGATCAGTTTGTCTGTAGTAGCGCTCAATAAGAATCAATTATTATTATTATTATTATTATTATTATTATTATTATTAACTGATCTCCCTTACCTTTCTTCTTCCTCTTTTTCGGTCCCTTTTTCCTCTCCTTTTTTCCTTTTCCTTCCTTCTTTCTATTTTTTTTCGGGGCCAGGGGGAGGCAACAGCCTGGGAGGCGAGGCCCTTTCTCCCCCCCCCCCCCGATCTCCTACTTCCCCTTTTCTTTTCTTCTTCCTCTTCTTTCTTTCCCTTTCTCTCCTCTTTCCCTCCTTTCCTTCTCTCTCTCTTTTTTCCTCCTTTTTTCCTTCTTTTTTTTCCTTCTTCTTTTTTTCCCAGGGGGGGGGGGGGGGCGAGCCCCCCCCCCGGCCCCCTGGATCCGCCACTGTGTCAGTGACCTCACTGGGTGGTAATCCCTTCTGACCGAACTACCATGTTTATAGTTATTTGTTTTTATTATATAACCAGGCTGCCGGTTAATTGTTTGATACTGATTGAGGGCTGGACCTGACTTTTACAAGCTAAGCTTTTCTTAACCCTATTTTAACTGGGCTATTTCAGACCAGGTTTTTACTTGGGGGGGGGGGGGGGGGTCAATTTGACCCCCCCTAAGATCTCGGCCGTTTCACCGCCGATCGCCGCGAAAATGTGCATGCATGTCAAGTGAAGTGTATAGAATACTATGGTAATTTCAAATTTTTGAAAAATTTACTCATTTGCATATTTATGGTAATATATGCAAATAAGGTCATCAAATTCACATTTCTGCCCATAAATCATAGATTATTCATGTTTACGTATTCTTTTTCACTACATATATTTATTAGACCATTTGGAATAATAATACAACACAAAAAATTGGAAGAGCCAGGTTAATCCTTATGTTATCTCTTGTTTTTATAATTTCTTATGTATTTCATTGTTTTTTTAACTTATGTATTTTATTGTTTTTGTTGTTTTATTTCATTTATAACTACAATTCAACTATTTTGACCCCAGAACAAACATCTAAACTTTAAACAAGACTGAATAACCAATGTTTTATCTATTTTTAGGAAAAATGACTTTTACATATGTTTTGTACACAAATCACGAAAATGAGCGATTTTCGGGCTGACATGCAAAGACAAAAGGTCACGTGACCTTGTAACTGTAGGTCCGATTTTCAAAAAAATTGTTTTAAAAGATGCGTAAGACTCGAAAGTAAAAAGTCATGAAAGGAAGATTTTATATCTGCCGCGGTTTCGGAGTAGTCGCGAAATTTCTACAGGGGGGGGGGGGGGGGTCAAATTGACCCCCCCCCCCCCCCCAGTTAACGTAGGGTTAACGTCTCCTCGTCTTTCTATTTCACTAAAATGGGGTGTACTCTGTCATTCATGTCAGAAGAAAGACAAATAAACTTGAACTTGGACATATAAACATTAAATATATTTTTTATAATGACCCATATATTTTGCAGGGATCGAATATATTTAGTTTTTCCCCTATGGCTTTCCATACTCGCGCCAATTACAAAATACATGTAGAATCTCTTGTGTACGGGTTACATAATACATCGCGCGCCTACGTTCTCCTACAATGGAAATGGATAACTTCCCACCGTATCTTTTGACAAAAGAAGAAGGAGTGTCCTTAAAGAGAAGATTTGAGATGAAGTCAGGAATAAACTTCGTCCGTTCAAGTAACTATCGGGCTCCTAATGGTAAGACTACGAGTAACTACTGGAGCAAAAGTCAGGCCAGGCCAGGTCGACTATGACTATGCGGTAAAATCTGTACGGTATGCATTGCTAATTGCTGTCGGCCAGGGGCCCGTTCCTACAAATCTAACTTCTTGACTATCCCATTAAAACGCGTGTTAGTTCTATAACACACGTTTCAATGGGATAGTCAAGAAGTTAGACTTATGGCGGTTTCTAGGAACGGGGCCCTGTCTCTTTTGTTCGTTAGCCTCTCTGATTTGGGTAGGGTCGGTACTCGGCTCCTCTCTTTAGAGACAGAAGCGAACCATAGAGACTGCCCTGCAAAGTTGGTATGCTGGAATTGAACAGCTAACCAGGTGCTATAACTTTAAAACTACCGTAAACCTAGACAGAATAACCGTCTGATATGGTCATTTCTTTAATAAAACTGACATTTGTTGATAGGCAGTCAGAGGAGCCAGATGCAATCTCAGCGGAACAACCGTCGATATCAATTATCAGATTCAGAGACTGAAGCTTTTGTTCTACCCTTACTTAGTACCGTAAACAAACCCTAATAATAAACCCCTTTTCCGTTTGTGGTGCTGATTTTAACTCGCACACGAAAGTTTCAACTTGGTAACATTCCCCCTGAAACAAGTAGACCTTTGTTTGAGACCTTTTGTTTCTTATCGCTTATGCTGCATAATAATTGCCCCTTCTCACTAGTTTTTGTTATTGTTGCTGCATGCAGGTGTGTATATTAATAATTTAATATACAGTATCTGACTGGCCATGGCCCTTTCTCGCCCTATCCCCCTGAAAAACTTATTTAAAAAAAAAAAAAATTATATCATGGTATTTTTGTTGCCATAAATTTTTATTCTCTTTTCAGAGAAAGAAATGAACCTCCATTTCGTAGACAAGAACAAGGTAGTCTGCAACAATGAATACCCCTATTCCATCATCAACACTGACACATACGAATGTATGTACGGAAGGGAACGTCATGCTGCAAGGAAGAAACGCTTGCTAGTAAGTGCATTTTACATTAGGCCTATGCTATGTTATGATAATGATGGTTTATAATTTTTTTATTTTTTTTTAGCTAATCAAGCATTTTGGATGTTATACATTTTGTTCAGGCTATTAAAATGTAACTGATAACAGTTTTGATAATAGCTGAAGGTGTTAGGATAGATTTTGATGTTTTTATACAAATAACCAGTGATCCATGTCTATTACCCCCCCCCCCCCCCCCCCAATGACATCACACAGTTGTGTCCAAAGAAGGAGCAATGTAATCCACTTTTGCATGACTTAAAATATCTGAAGTAATTTTACTTTGGACACTAAAACTCGGTATAGAATAGAAGAGCAGTGTTATGAAATCACAAAATTAAAAATTGAAACACTTTGGAATAATATACACAATACACCTGGGGGCCGTTTCTCGAAACCAACTCCATGACAGTCATATCTTTGTCGGCGACCTACGGAGATGTCATGAAGCGGATAAACCGTTTCACAAAGCCATGACAGACATGATATCGATATATCGCGATACTAGCAGCTCAAGAACATAGTCTTTGTCACGATCCATTTGATTTATCAAGAATAACCCAAAACAAGTTTTGGGGCTAAAATTGTTCAAAAAGAAATATATACATATAAATTCTCCTAAAATAAATACTAAATAGTGTCATTATCATATTTACATCATCAAACGATTTGCATATACCTGTAAAGATTCTTAAATTGAAGAAAAACCGGTGAGTGTTTTTTTTCGACAGTCGAATCAAAAGTTAGTTGAAGGATACCGTAATGTGATAGTTTATCAATACGTACTTATTTGTTTATTGTGACGAGGAATTTTAGGCAAAATGTCTTTTCTCAGCCAGTTTTTATTTTAGAGTCTCATAAATACTCGTTATATAATTGATTTGATATTGAAAATATAATTTGGAAGAAGTAAATAGAGAGGGAAAAATAATGCACATAGGCCCCAAAGGTATGACGGTATCTTAAGAAAAGACTATGAATCTACTATGGAAAACGGTGTGTAACATTCTTACCTCTCTTACTTATATGTTATAGTTTAATGATTTGTGATTTAATGTTTATATTAAGCTTTTTAAAGTTTCTGTATAATTTGCATTCTCACTTTTGTACATTTGCATTTCGCATACCAGAGAATTACGTACCGAACTCGTCTATATTTTTCTCAAAATGGTAGTGAAACTAATCGTCCATTTCGCGGCCCATGGAATGGCAACAAACTGACTTGTGATGGCGCTTTACAGCAATTAAAAAGATATGACAGGTTCGGAGCAGTGACAACTCACTTGTCGCGAAAGTTGTCGCTCATCTTGGCAAAGACGGCTTCGTGAAACACTTAGCTGACAAGTTGCGTGACAGTGGCAAGATGTCGTTGATCTTGACGGTTTCGAGAAACGGCCCCCTGATTCCTTACATCTTGATTCAAGATATAAGGAATCAGGTGGTGGTATACATACATGTACAAACTGTATATATATCCAATATGTGTGTACATGTATATATATAATATATGTATGTAACTCCAAAAAACCTTCTAAATTGCAAAAATATATTTTCTGTAAGGTAAAGTGTTCATTTTTTTTCTCCAGGAAGAACCTCGATCGCCATCAAAGCGAGCATATAACGGAGACCATGCATCTCGAAAGAAAGGCTGCCCTGCAAAGCTTATCCTAAAGGAAGTTGTTATGTATACAGACTTCAAGGTAAAAGTATATATAGATTAGCACATTAGATATCTTCATCAAAGGTACCAGTCTAACAATATATGCTGTACACACTTGGCTATTTTGCTGGCTAATATATAACATGTAATTTATATAATTACTATATTTTAATTTTATTTATAAGCAGGTTGATATTACCTCTGTTGTTCATATGTGTTCAAGGGGAGCTTTGCATGCCAGATATGCCAGATACTCCCAAAATAATATTATACAACAATCCATTTCCTCAAAATTTTCCCACATTATACACCCGTTTTTAATGAAATTACATTGGTTGCCAATAGAGCACAGAATAGTATTCAAGAAATTTTTGCTTTAATATTTCAAAGTTTTGAGAGGCCAAGCCTTGAATAAATTGTCTGATATATTATCTGTTAAATCACATCCATAACTTACAAAGTACACAGGACAAGCTAAAAATACCTCACACTCAAAACAAAAGTAAATCTTGGAGATTGTGCTTTCAATTGTGCGGCTCAAAAGCTTTAGAGTAACCTAGGCTTTAGACAAAGGAAATTAAAGCCCCATCTGTTGCTGTCTTCAAAGTTTTGCTTAATAACCCACTCGTTTTCTGAAGAATTTGAATAGAGTTTAGATGTTTATTAAGTAGCACTATAAGGAGATTTTTCATCATCAAAGTGCAGTAGAGTATACATATATATTATGATTATATATACAAAATGCTCCTATTAATCACAATTACACACAAACTCCAAGATAAACAAATGACAGTTAAAGTAAAAAGTAAGAAGAAAAAATGTAAGTTATAAATATTAAAATAAACAAGTAAACAAATAATTATTAATGCATGATTCCAGAGGCAAGTTTAATTTGAATAAGTAATTTCCTTGGTAGAAAACAGCAAATGTGAATTAATCAATGTTTTGATACAGATTACAGAGAGACTATGTTAAAAGGAACTTATAGAGAGGAGCCCATACCATACACACAATTATTCTGCATTGAAAAGCTACCTTTACAGTTTACAATGATTAAGATTGATTGTTATGTGCATATACATCACTTTTCTTTGATCTTCATTGCAAAACATTTAAGAACACATAACTCTGGTCATGATAGCATTTCTTCATGTTTGCTTTCTGTTTAGCTTGATGACGCCATGTCTGATTGGAAAAAGAAGCTCATTGGCAGGGATCTGAGGTCAGCCCTGAACACGAAAGCCAACCTCAACAAAGAAGTTAGGATTTATGTGAAATACCCTTTGGATGAAGATCACCTTTCTGGACATGAAGTAAGACAGGTAAAGATCAATTGCTTGTGTGATATTGTGTTATGATTCTTGAACATATAATTCTTCTACCCCCCCCCCTCCCTCGCCACTCACACACACACACACACACACACACACACAAACTTGAAAGGAGCCAGATGCATGATGTTAATTATGATAGGAACAGTTTGACCCAAATAAAAAAAATTAATATGTAATATCAATTCGCCAGTAATGTTTTTTTTAATGAATTAATGCTATTGTGTTTAATCAGGGAGGTGAAAGAAAAGGAGGCGAAACTCTTGTAATTTATTCAAACGCATTCTTGAGTTCTAAAGCGTAACAATGGGATGTGTAACATTCCACTTGGCTTTGAAGTTCCATGCTCCGAACCGCGCTTCCACTTCGAATTTAGAACTCCGTCCTTCCTTTAATTTGTGTGCCAGAGTTGGTAAAAGAAAAATTACATCCTGTCAAAAATTCAATATTTTAGGATGATGCGCTAATTTGTGCATGCTTTAATGTCCCGTTATTTGATCCATGATTTACAATCTTCAATAACATTAAGTTTGCTAATGTGTGTTTTCGCGTGTTTTTTGTATTTTTCAAGTTTAAAAAAGGATAAAATTACACAAGTTTGTGTTCGCTTGTTTTACTTGTACACATTCAACAATGGATGAGAAATCATTGGAAGGGACAGCGAACAGTTGCTGTGATACCATTTTCTGATGTAGGAATTCTAAATCCTGAAATTTCATGCGCTCTTTTATCTCACCACCTGGTCAACAGTTGCAGATTAGCGCATAACTTTTCGGCGGCTTGGAGCATGGGGTCAAAGGAGAGCGGCTTGATTCCAGTCCTTCTCTATCACGTCCCTGGTTTAATGTGCTTGTGGTTATCATATAAGAGTATCTCACCTCCTTTCCTATTTTCCTGTCATTCTTATCACCACCTAATCCATCCAGTCTCCAATCCTACTGACTATACCACCGTTCACATTCCATAGCCAGATGCGTGATATCCCATACAGGGAAAAGTATTATGTACCTTGTTTATGTCCTAACCAATGTGATGCAGAATAAAGCATTTGAAGATAGTCTGACTCACAAACCAAGGAGTAAATTCTCTTGCTCATCACATTTAAAATCCATGTCCTAGCTAGATATACTTGGTATTACATAGATGGAATTGGCACTGTTAAAGGGAAAGTCCACCCCCAAAATAAGTTTGTTTCGATAGAGGCAGAATAATAAGAAAATCAGGTGAGTGAAAGTTTGAGCAAATTCTGAATGAAAATAAGAAAGTTATGAATTATTGAAGTTGTGATCAATCAAATACATATTGGCAACTCTGTGACTTATTACACGAGCTCTCCTTCATTTGCTTTGTGCATTGTAAAATCTCTATCTTTATGTAGTTAACAAAGATACATCTTGAACTAGGGTATTTAGGAAGTGAGTTTATTTATTCAACATCTTGACGTTCCGTTTCGAGCACTTACATTCCGTGCATGTGTGTGTGTACTCCCTGCCGTAGCTGGCAGTATATACCTGCGGGATATTACATCCCTCCTTTTCTTTAGATTTGTTCATAATCATAAAACAATAAACTTGTTACACATACATGTATTTTTCTTGACACTTTCAAGAGTAACAAAAATGAAAATATCAATATAAAGGTTTAGTGTGTTTGTATCTTTCTTTCAAATACAAAATTTCACTATAATTGTTTTTCTTCAAAGAAGTACATGCATGATCAGTGTACAGAACTATGTATATCAGGTTGAAAAATGTTTTTTCCAGGTACATGTATTTGGTACATATATCTTCACAAATTGAGTATTACCATGGTTACAAACAGATCAATTAATAAGAGATCATACCGTTTCAAAATGACTGACTGTATTTCAAACATAGAAAGCATATTTCTTCCTCCTTTTCTTTAGCTTAAATGAACATAATGTATCAAATACACAAACACTGTTTTGGTACATGTATTGTATGGAACACTAAACTCTCAAAATGACAGGAATTCTTTCCCTCAAAATGAATGAACATGAATAAACACATCTTCTTGCATGTGTGATTAATAACAACAGAATAATGAAACATAAATGCAATATCCCTTAGGATATATGAACAAAAGCATCTTAGCATTTCACAAAACAACTTTAAACATTGGTTACAAAAGTTCTTCTTCAATGGTTTTAGTATTCAGTTTAGGTTTTGTAGTCCTTTAGATAGGCTGGTGGCCTTCTGGTGCGGTTTGGGACCACAGTTTCTGAGTTTTTGTCACTTTGTTCTGACTTGTCCGTCTGTTGAGTAAGCTGTGACTGTGAAGGCGATCGCTTAAAGAAGGATACATTGCGTGTGACGCACCATGATGTTGATTGACATTTAGCAGTGATCATGTTACCCTTCCTCTTGATAATCACTAGAGGGGTAGGATTATACGGGGGTGTGAATTTATCACCTCGTGCATCATTACGCACTATCACTTTGTCACCTACTTTGAAGTCGCATTTCACTGTGTGCAGTCGCTTGTCAGCGTAGGATTTTTGCTTTGCTTTCGCTACATGATCATTCGCTATCGCTTTCGAGTGACTGGCAGCAATTTCATCGTTGACCATTGATGATGTGTTGTCATGAGCAACATCTACTTCTGGGAGGCGCGTAACCGGTTCTCGATTAAACATCAATCGAAATGGGCTTACTCGCGTTGAAGAGTGTGGTGTGGCACGATATTGTCGTAGGTATATGTACAGCTGTTGTTTCCAATTCTTTCCTTCGAGGTGTGCAGCGCGCACGGCTGTGATGAGTGGTTTGTTAAATGCTTCTGCTTGAGCATTAGCTCTAGGCCAGTGAGGGGTGATTCGACGATGCTGAAATCCGCAGTGAGACGCGTAATCCGCGAATGAACTCGAATTGAATGGGCTTCCATTATCGCTTTTGAGGACTTTCGGAAATCCAAATACAGACAACACTTTATCAAGAACGGGTATCACAGCTCTAGCGGACACTGAACCTACAACCTCTACAACTGGGTATCTCGAAAACTCATCAATGAGTACCATCAAATACTCTCCTGTTGGTAACGGACCACAGAAATCGATGCTTAAATTCTGCCAAGGACCGGGTGGCATTTGTGACATCTTGAGGGGCTCCAGAGGCGTACGGATATCGCGTACGGTTTGGCATACAGGGCAATCTTTCACAAGTGATTCCACTTTACTATCAAGCGATTCAAACCAAACCTTTGAGCGGAGCAATGCTTTCGTACGCACAATACCTGGGTGACTCTCGTGTGCGATATCGATGATACGCTTATGAAGGGCTTCTGGTATCACAATACGCTTATCCCTCAGCACAATATCATCTTCAGTGACTGCAATTTCATTGCGAACATTCCACATAGCGCGATGAGAGCCTTTGAGATTCTCCCATTTTCCACTGCGATAGGCTTCGATCGTAGCTTGTAATGCACAATCGCGGGCTGTTTCTGATCGTATGTCGTCGAGACTGGCGGTTTTTGGAGCTGCATGATGAGCCACAAAGTTGATGTAGGCTTCGACATCTGGCATTGGTGTACTAGTGCTATCACTACAGGGATGCCATGAAATGTAGTCAGCTGGGTTTGTCTTTCCAGGGGCGTGGATTACATCCATGTCGTAGTGCTGGAGTTTCAACATCCAGTTTGCAATGCGTGCTGATGGTACAATCTTTGGCTTTCCAAAGATAGGGATCAGAGGCTTGTGGTCGGTGACCACCGTGAAGTTCCGACCAAAAAGATATGTGTGAAGACGATGAACACCCCAAGCAATACCAAGAGCTTCTCTCTCTATCTGGCTGTATCTTTGTTCTGTTGGTGTAAGGGAACGACTAGCATATATGATTGTACTTCCCTCTTGGGTCAACATGGCTCCCAGTCCCACTGGGCTGGCGTCGACATACAGAATTGTACGCTTGGCTGTGTCAAAGTATGATGATACTGCACTTTTTGATATGGAATCCTTCAACGCTTTCAACGCTGCTTCATGCTCTTGATTCCATTCAAATTTCACTCCTTTTGTCATGAGGCTACGGAGAGGTGCAGTGATTGTCGCGAGATTGGGAATAAAACGCGAGCTATAACTGGCCATGCCAAGAAGACTTCTCACTTCCTGGGCATTTTGCGGACGTGCAGCCTGGTGGATAGCGTCAACCTTATCAGGATCAGGCGACGCTCCTTCTGCTGAGAATACAAGGCCAAAGAAAGAAATCGTTGTCTTGTTGAATTGGCATTTCTGCGTGTTCAGGGTTAGTCCTTGCTCTTGCAGACGTTGAAAGAGTGTATTCAGCCTCTCATTGTGTGACGCTTCATCAGGTGCATGTACAAGAATATCATCAGACACATTGAGGACTCCTGGTATGCCTTCTAATGTCTGACGAATGGCGTTCTGAAAAACTTCACTCGCAGAGGATATGCCGAAATTCAGCCTCTTGTAGCGCTTCAGTCCAACATGCGTTGCAAACGTGGTTATGTATCTGCTCTCAGGTTCAAGCTCGAGCTGATGGTATCCAGATTTCAGATCCAACTTAGAAAATACCTTGGACCCGTTCAACTCAGTGATGATTTCATCCATTGTAGGTGTAGGATGACGCTCTCTGATGACAGCCTTATTAGCCGCCCTCATGTCCACACAAATCCGAACATTCTGTGGATCATTTGGCTTGGGAACGGCTACAATCGGCGAAACCCATGGAGTCGGCCCAGTAGCATCCTCGATTATGTCGGCGTCCTGTAGCTCAGCAAGCTGTTTCTCAATCTGTTTTCGCAGATGAAATGGTGTACTGCGAAACCGTTGTGCGACTGGAGGAACTGAGGTGTCAATATGGAGTTTCACCTTCTTGTCTTTCAGCTTCCCAACCCCCGACCATAGGTTTGGGTATGCAGATGTATAGTCATTTTCTGCATTGACAGCATTGGCGGTGTCGTTGATGATGATCAAATTGAGATCTTCAGCAGTGCTACGCCCAAGAAGACATCCATAT